GAAGGAAGGAAGGAAGGAAGGAAGGAAGGAAGGAAGGAAGGAAGGAGAATATTTCCTATCCATGGAATTATCCGGTTTCATCAAATTGGGATGGAATTTCATTGCGTGTTGTCTATCATTAAAGCAAAATATGACAATTGATTTGTTTTGCTTTTTTAATCTCCTTTCAGGGCACGCCTGGAAAACAAGGACCTCTTGCAGTAAGAAAAATATCCATCCAATTCCTGTATTGTTCCTTTTTTCTTTTTTGCATCAGATGATTCAAACTCATGCCCGGATATGAAACATAAGAAAATTTAAAAACCAATTAAAATGTCAAGATGATCAGATTATTTTTTATTACAAGCAGGTTAGAGATTTGGTGTGCAGAAACAATTTCGTGACTTCAGCCATGGTCCAATGAGTTCAGTGTCCTTGAAGTGTGTTTGTGTGTGTGTGTGTGGGGGGGGTGTCAATGCCATTCCAATGCAGCACTTCTGGAAGTGAAGGATTTGCTGGCTGCACACCATTCCTCACGATACTCCTGACTGTACTCACAAAGCTTTCCAGCTCCTTGGGGAGGATCCTTCTATGGTCTGTATAGGTAGCATTCTGAAATGCATGCAAAAATGCTTTGGAATAGTGACCAAAAATTAAGCTATTAGGGGTGGGTATGAGCTGTCTATTATAAGATTTATTGGTGTGTTATGTTGAGGGTTCTGGGAACATGCTTAAGTTCCAGGAAAATGCACAGCGAAAGGGCCAGCTCCTTTCTCTTAGAATTAGCTGTAGACGTCCCCTTCTTTACCCTCTTGTTCTTGGTATCCACCCTCACCAAAGCCTAGCCCTCTAGAAAATAAGACTCAGGAGGCGATCTTTAAGTATAAAAGGTTTGTGTATTTTACTTCCATAAACGTCCCTTTCTAAAGCAGGCCCTCATTAGGCTTCAGGTTGATAGAAAGGAAAAGAGTAAAAAGAAGGTTTGTTTCCACAGCCCATGTGGGTGGGAGGATCTCGGGGGTTCAGAGATTCAGCCTGGAGATCGAGCATCTTCCAAGGTGAAAAAGGGTCTGAGGCAAAAATGGAGTCTCTCAAAATGCGTGAGGGGGAGAAGGGAAGAAACAAGGGTTATCTAGCCCGCCAAGAGCCAATCCCTCTGATTAGTTAGCATGCAAGCAAACAAGCAAACAAGTTAATCTGTGACGTAGGCCCTTCCTCCCATATCTTGAAATTTACATCAAGATTGCTAACTAGCCGACATATTACACATATGTAAGACTATATTCTGGGGACGAAAAAGTGTACCTGAGATGAAATGGCTTGTTGCTTTCCCTCTTGTAGAACCAGCTACCTAGGATGATGAGCGCTGATGGAATGGACGGTGACGAAGGTGCTGCTGCTGTGGTAAGGATCAACCTGTGGTCATTCCAGTTCTGCTTTTGCTAGGAAGTTTAATACTCCTGAAACACAGTTTTTATCCTTATCCAATGCCTTGTAGAACCAGGTAAAAGGAAAATTTTTATAGTTCTCTCAGTACAGTAAAAGGAAAAATTTTATAGTTGCTGATACCCACACCCAGGGTGGCCATTACCATTTGGTTCTTGAAGTTGTTGATGGACATTAATCTTGTCTAGTATTCTTTTATCCTCTTCCAATAATTTAATTTTTAAGTTTTCTGTCATTAAAACAAAGTATGACAATTGATTTGTTTTGCTTTTTTGAAGCATCTGAGAATTCCAGAAATGGGAGATCTTACTTTTGTGAATTTTAACTCCTAGAATTGTGACCAAAAGGGGAAGCTTCTGACCAGTTGTTTTAATTATCTCTGTCACATTTTTACTACCAGGGAAAGGAAGTTTGTAGGGTTTTTTTTTATTCTTTGTGCCATAATAAATTGGCAGACCTTGAGTCCTGGTGCTATGTGTTGTTTTGGCTGGAGAACAATGATGTCTTAATCTGGTCTTGACTTTGAGTGTGTGTGAATTATTGGGACTGTCTCTGTTTTGGCTGTGTTATCAATGTTCCTTTTCTTCCATTACAGCAAGAAACTACCTCCCCCCCATAAAAAGCTGAGGATCCTGCTGTCCAGCGACCTTCACCACCATTCCATCATTTAATTTGGAATGAATTTCACCAAGTTTAGCTTGCTGTTGCTACAGATTTTCCCAAATGACAAAAGCAATCCTTTCAAAACACACCACCTGCCTGTTTTTCTCTGTATCTTTATATTTGCATATTGTTTGATTTTTGAATCAGTGTGACAATCGCCCTCGTCACTTTCATACTCATGAGCTGATTTGCAGGAACCTATGAGAGGACTGGAAAGGTGGAGTCAGCAGCTACATGCGGTTTGGCGGGAGAAAGAGTCAGATAGAGATTGGGATGAGATCCAAATAGTGATAGGGGCTGGTTAATCAGAGAGGGGGGGGACAGATACTGAGAGAGACAGAGCTGATTAGGAAAATAGGGAGAGAAGGTGGCAATGATACAGATAGAGAAAAGAAGTATGTACTGAGAGAACTGTTGATGAATTGCTTGTGTATAATGTGTATCTGAGAAACTTCTGTTATTATTCAATCTGCTTCACTTCAATAAAATAAGTTCTGTTTCTGTTCACAAGACAAGTGCTCTGATATACGTCATTTGTATGTGGATTGAAGTATCCCAAGGAGAGAACAAATATTTGCATTTTTGTCATCCTTGATAGGAAGAAAAGTTGGCATTCCCTGCAACATCTTTTGTACAAAATACCGTGCTTCATTTTTTTGCACATTTTCCTCAAAAAAAATCCTTAAATGTGTAAAATGCAGAAATACAATTCTGCATTTTACACATTCATCCCTTTCTGGGAAAGCATGTGCTAATTCTCTATTTGATTTGTTAGAAAAAAAATAAGTGAGGATTTACACCCTATTTGGGAACTTTATTCTTTACAAAATGTGCTCCAAACTTAGGAAGGCTAGAGATTATTAAAGTGAATATTGAGTACAGTTGGACATAGCTATTAAGGTGCTTTTCCTATTCAGATTATGTAAGTAATGTTTTCCCTGCTTTTTGGCCCAAAACACTCCCATTATGGCTTCTTCATTGTTCCAGTAACAGAAATATGTTGCATTACATTTGTAATTCAGGGAAGAACAATCTCATTCCCCTTGTGATATAACTGTAATTTTTAAACTACTTTTCTAGTTATGGGTATGTGGCCTCAACAAATGATAGAGGAGGAATATACCACGGTTCAAGGGCCAGCTTATGCTGGCTTTCATGCTACTTGCTTTGTTGTGGGTTTTTGGCTGATGATAGGTCCATGAGTTTGTGACAGTTGTTTCTGGAGTTCAAATTTTTTTAAAGTTAAAAACTTACTACCGTGTTTCCCTGAAAATAAGACAGGGTCTTATATTAATTTTTGCTCCAAAAAGGGCTTATTTTTAGGAGATGTTTTATTTTTACATTCATGTCATCTTCTGGTTGCTGCACAATGCTGCACAATGGTGGAGGGCAGGGTTTCTCTTAGCTAAGACTTATTTTGGGGTTAGGGCTTATATTAAGTGTTCTCAACTGTCCTCTACCTTAATCACTAACACTAGTAGATGTGAAAAGACAGGCAAGTGAAAATTCTGTTTGAAGAACTAGCAAGTTTTAAATGCCACCATTTAGAAGCCTATGTTTTGAAACAGTGTGAGCACTATTTTTGGTAAATATGAAACAACAAGACTATTTTTCTGCATGATTTACTTATTTTTATTGTTATGCAGTTTTCATTGATTCTAGGAGACAGGGATGTGTTCCAAGAAGAAGCCAATTCATTCCTTAGGACGCAATGGTGACCTTGATGAGCACTACGCCAGATTTGGTATTTCAGCCTATCCTCTGTTGTCTCTCATTAGCAATGAATGGGGTATCTGTCAGGTTTTGCTCCAATGGTATCAAGGCAGATGCTATAAAGAAAAGGAAGAAAAAGACCCACTTAGGAGACATGCAAATAAGTGTGAATATACTTTCATTGAAAATATGCAGATGTGGGACATTCAGTTGTGAATCTGATTGCCCCAAAGCTCATACAGTGGACCCTCGACTTACAGACGGCTTGACTTACAGACTTTTTGAGTTACAGACTTCTCTGGCCGCAAAATTTAGGTTTGACTTGCAGCCTGAGAATTGACTTACAGACCAGAAAAAAACCAAAATGGAACAAAAACGGCCTGTTACGGGATTAATCGGTTTTCAATGCACTGTAGGTCAATGGAGACTTGACCTACAGACTTTTTGACTTGAGAACCGCCTTCCAATACGGATTAAGTTCTCAAGTCAAGACCCCACTGTATCCCCAAAGCTCATATACTAATTCATCCCAGTCATCACCACTCCCAAATATTATTTATTTCCAGTTCCAGGCCTACCATTAGGCAAAATGAGGCAAAGGTCCGAGATGTTAGGGGACAAAAGAGACTACGTCCACCTCCTAAATGCCCCAGCCTTTTCCCTCTTTGAAGCTAGACTAGTGAAATGGCTCACCTGCCTCATGCCCTCAGGTGTGGTGGACCACATTGACCAGTCGCCATGGGGAAGTAAAAATTAACTGCTAGTCTAGTTTTCTTCGTTGTTACGTGCCATCAAGTCTCCTATCAATAAGCGCTCTCCGAAATGTCCTGTCCTCAACACCCCTGCTCAGCTCCTCCAAACTGAAGCCTATGGCTTCATACCTCATATCTGGTCTTTCTCTATCCTGCTGCTTTCAACCTTTCCCGACATTATTGTCTTTTCCAGAGACTTCCTTTCTCATGACATGCCCAAAGGGTGACAGCTTCAGTTTTGTTATTTTTTAAGCTTCCAGAGATATTTCAGGCCTGATTTCCTCTGGGGCCCACTTGCTCATCTTTCTGGCAGTCCAGAATATCTGCAAAACCCTTCTTCAGCACCACTGTTCAAATAAATTTTCCCCTGTCAGCTTTCTTAATTGCCCACCATTTTTGAGTTCCAGTTACCTATGATGATAAGCATGTCATGTTCTGGTGTGTAATCAATTTCCTCCTAGATGTTGCATAAAAGCTTTCAATCTCGTATTTTTCAGCATCTGTAGTTGAGCATAGACTTGCATGATAATAATGTTGATGAGTTTTCTCAGAAGTCTGATTAATACTATTCAGCTAGACCTTGAATTATAGCCCCTGACTGTACTATGTCCTGCCTTAGTATTAGAACAACTCCATTTCTTCTGAGTTTATCGTTTCCAGACTAAAACACTTTGCAATTGTCTGTTGAAAAATATCCCTTTCTTGCTCACTTTAGTTCACTGACAAGCAAGCACTGAAATATTTAAATGTTCCATTTCTTGCTTTTTGATTTCTTATTTACCTTGGTTCCTACTTCTCATTTTTCATGCTCCAGTTGTATGTGTTGTGTAGCATCGGACTTTCCTTTCACCTCTGTGCATTTCAGCTACTAGACATCCTTTTGCCTTTTAGCTAGTTGTGTCATTAGTGCCGCACTGTTTGTAGTTCCCCTTTGCTCTTCCCCAGGAGCAGATTGAATACTGTCATTAGTGCCACACTGTTTGTAGTTCCCCATTGCTCTTCCCCAGGAGCAGATTGAATACTTTCTGGCGTGGGAATATAATCTTCTAGCCCTATCGCTTGTTTCATTTTGGACTGTCTCCTCAAAGGATTTTCACAGTAAGAAAGATTCAGCAGTTTACCATTGCCTTGCTCTGCGCAGTATTAACAAAAGTGACCTTGTGTGTCAGTGCTATTTTCTGCGAAAGATCTTCCACCAGGATCACCTTCAGCGGCCACTGCTGACAGTGGTTTCTCTGCTCCCATCACCATTGGAACTTTCTATTCTCTGTTGCTCATGTGTCTGTGAATCCTGAAGGGAGTGGCTGCATCTCAGTCTGGTACCTCAACTGCGACCATTTTGCCTTGGGTGACCCTACTAGGAGTTCAGTCTCGTAATGGAGTCTGGTCTCCTGATGGCCTTGCTCTCAGCTTCTCTGACACACTCAAGCTCCCTCACCGTGTTAAGATGTGCATCCAAAAAGGGGCCAGTTTGCCTTGTGTCTGTGAATCCTGAAGGGAGTGGCTGCATCTCAGTCTGGTACCTCAACTGCGACCATTTTGCCTTGGGTGACCCTACTAGGAGTTCAGTCTCGTAATGGAGTCTGGTCTCCTGATGGCCTTGCTCTCAGCTTCTCTGACACACTCAAGCTCCCTCACCGTGTTAAGATGTGCATCCAAAAAGGGGCCAGTTTGCCTTGCCTTAGTATGGCTGCATCTCAGTCTGGTGCCTCAACAGTGACCATTTTGCCTTGGGTGGCCCTACTAGGAGTTCAGTCTCGTAATGGGGTCTGGTCTCCTGACGGCCTTGCTCTCAACTTCTCTGACATACTCAAGCTCCCTCACTGTGTTAAGGTGTGCATCCAAAAAGGGGCCAGTTTGCCTTAGTACATTAAACGGCAATGTGGACAAATATATCTTTTTGCTTCAGAAAGCAAAATGTACCGGACTGGTCCAGATTATTTGCATTCAGTTATGTATATGAGCAATGTGGATAAATATATATATTTTTGCTTCAGAGAGCAAAATGTAGCAGACTGGCCCAGATTATTTGCATTCAGTTATGTATATGGGAAAAATGTCCTTACCAGTTAGGTAGTCCTTACTCCTGCATCAAATTGTCCTCGGGTTCTTCTGCTTCCACCTAGACAAAACACAAAGTTTAGGGTCTTCTCTGGTCTTCTCTGTACTTGATCAAACTTGAAATATGTCAGGATAATCTGTCAAGAGTTCTGCTTCCGCCTAGACAAAACACAAAGTTTAGGGTCTTCTCTGGTCTTCTCTGTACTTGATCAAACTTTAACCCCCCGCGAAATTTCTCTTCTCCAGCACAAGAACAAGATTGGTGCTCCTTTGTGTGTGTGTGCATTTTGTGTAATTTGAGCAAAATGTCTCTGTGCACAGCTGGTGTATTTTCCCTTTGCCCAAAGGACAAATACACAGCTATCACAGAAGGGTTGGCTGCTATGTCAAAAAGACACAATCTGTCTAACATTTTTAATTTTTTTTAGTTGTCTGTGCAACAGGAAAGTCACTCTTGCAATTTAGCACCATAATTTGTGCAAAAATCACTCTTGCAGTTTGAAACAGTGCAAAAATATTTTGTTTCATTTGTAGAGAGGGACAAACATCTGACATAAGAACAAGTGAGGAGACACACACATGCGCGCGCGCGCGCGCACACACACACACACACACACACACACACACACACACACACACACACACACACACACACCTACCTTCCTATTCCATTCCATTCCATCCATGTGTTATTGCATTAATAACACGTGCCATCAAGTCAATTCTGACTTATGGTAACCCTTTTCAAGGTTTTCTAAGCACTGAGTACTCAGAGGTGGTTTACTATTCTTTTACTATTCTCTTCTTCTGGGGGCACTCTGCGACTGCACAGCTTGCCCAAGGCTACATAGGCTAGCTCTT